TATATATATATACATATACTCCCACATGTACTTACCTTGTATAGTAGAAGTGACCAATTTGTCAGTAAATAAACAATTTTTGTATTACAACTAAGCATATTTGTTTATTCCTATGCAATGCGTCGTCCAATTTTTTTTTTCTGATTATAATCTGCTCGAATATTTGTAAATAGTATATGTGTACAGTGAACGCGACATAAACGAAGAACTTAATCTTACCATGGTTTTATAGCCACTTATTCGACATTTTAGAAAAGAAATTATTATTGCACAAAAAAAAATCGATTTTTAATTCGCTCATAATCTTAAATTTTATTAATATCATTTAATATATACAAAAAGGACTTACGATTTTATGATGATTAATTTGTATTTACTGTAAAAAATTGTGGTTGTTGCGTGCTGTCTGATAACGAGCTCTAGTTTACCTAATTTAAACAAATTGTGATAATTACTACTGCTTAAAAAGATTATCATTTGAATATAAGCCTTTATTATAGTTATTTTTTATGACTATGCCAATGAAGCATAACTTTCACTTACATATGTACGTCTTAAATCGAGTTAAGGAGCATTCACTGTGGCTTGCAATAAGTTTGCTTGCGTAGGGACTTCCTTTTACATTGGAAACTTCGAAAGTTTCAAGTATGCCCTAGCTTTCACATTAAATCTTGTACATATGTATTACAGTTATATATGTGTATATAGTTGTGTATAAACAACTGTAGAACAGACGTTTCCGTTTTCGTTCATTGATTGAGTTGACTGCCGACAATTTGCTCAAATAATATATAGCTTTATCGACTTTGTTTTTGAATGCTCAAAGTTTTCAGACATCTTTATCAGCACATAGATACATACATATACACATGATTATAATTCTTGCAGTCCCATTATTGCCATCTCCAGCTACAGTGTGGAGCCTTATGGGGATGGCACAGATGCCCCTGTTTGCACCACGGCCGCGGATGGCTTTTGGCCCATCGTCTACTTTGTGGGCACCATTACACTCTTCTTCTTTCTTCCCTTTGGCATCCTAGTGGTGCTCTATGCAGCCATCGCGTACAAATTGCTGCGTCCAAACAGCGCATTCCACAGACCCACCTCGCCGCAGCTGCAGGCAAGCCAACAACAACAACAGCAACAGCAGCAGACGTCTAGCTCAAAGGGCAGCAGCCATCAGCAGAGCAATGGAATGAGGAAGCATCGCAAGCAGGTGATCTTCATGTTGGTGGCCGTGGTGTCCAGCTTCTTCGTCTGCCTTTTGCCCTTTCGCGCCTTTACCCTGTGGGTGATCACGGCCAGCGCGGAAGATGTGCAGCATCTGGGCATTGCAGGCTATTATAATCTACTGTATTTCTCACGCTTTATGCTCTACCTTAACTCGGCCATGAATCCCATACTCTACAATTTGATGTCGTCCAAATTTCGCAGCGGATTTTGGCGTCTGCTGCTGAGTTGCTTTGGCCAAGGGTCGCATCATCATCATCATTATCATGGATATTATCATTATCCCACTTTGCCCGGACGCAGTCAGCGGAGGACCGCGCATTCCCAGAACCAAGGGGCTAATGGGGAGGAGGATGGTGGCACTGCTCTCAACGCGGGTCAAGCTCAACGGGTGCGCCGCACACTACGCCGCGAGGCCACCTTTCTAATCAACTCCATATCCACGTCGTCGGGCACTGAACGAAACACTTCCTCCACCTGGCGCAGCAACAGCCTCTCCACCTCCATAGGACTAGGTGAACGAGAGCGGGAGAGGGACCGCGAACGCGGGCCCCTTGGAGCCGCTATAATTGGCACCACCGCTGCCACAGTTACCACTGCCTGTCTGCATGAGCGAAGCGCTAACAAAATCTGAACTCAAATGGTATTTAGTTGAATTCAAGCACATTTAGTCAATAGTCATAGTTTATAGAAGAAATTTTATTTGTAAAGACTGAAGTACCTCAGAAGAAGTCAATAAACGTCTAGAAAAGATTTGTTTTTGAAATCAAAAAAATCTCTAATCCTTCCAACTTAGACATCACTCTGAAATTGGGTAAGGAATATACATGTCCAAGAAGTCTTTTATCGGAATAAAGTGGATATTCCAGTCAAGTTTCTAAAATACACTTAACAATGATATCAAAATTTTTAATGCCGTTCGATGGGCTTTATGCGATTCAAAAAATTCAGATAAATAATATCTGCATCCGAGCTAAGCAAAGTTCGAGATGATTTTTTCTGATTCGAATATTTTGAAAAATTGACTTTAGACTCAATATACAGTGACTTAGGCAAAAAGACAGATGGAATATTTTTCTTCAAAGCCACAGAATCCTAAGTCCCCGCCATAATATGCTTCGTCTTATGAAATAAAATGAAATGCTTAAGAAATTTTATTATACATCTCATGGTCAATGTTATCATCATCAAATATTAAACATTATATATGTAATTATATATATATATTTGTTTTTTATTTTTATTTTATCTGCCTAAGCAAATCCGTGTTAATTCCTGTCGTTAATTCTAGTAAATTTTTATCCTTTTCTTGATTTACATTATAATTACAATATGACAAACAGGCGGCTGAATAGTTAAGATGACGTGAGAATATGAACTACATATAGCTGGTAACTACACATAACTACATATAGGGTCTAGACTATAAGAAAAGCAGTTTTTGTTTGCTATTTTATTTTTTGTTTTTTGTTTTTTTTTTTTTTCAATAACGTGTTTGTGGATATAAGTATTAATAGTAATCGGTATCGATATCGCTATCGCTATCGCCATCGGTATCGTTTTGCGCTGCTATGGTATGTAACTCTTAAGTTTAGTTTAAATTTAGATTAAGTTAATTAATACACCAGTTTTTAAGTTTTGTTTTTTTTTTTTGTATTTTTGCACTACTTATGAACATAACTATAGAAACAGAATGCTAATAGTCAGAGGTATAAGGGTAGTACATAGCAGAATATATCCAGTGTGTTTGTGGGATTTAATTGCGAAAATTGTGAACTGCCGTATCAAAGAAAGTACCGCTTTTTCTCATACTCTTCAATACTCATTATAATTATTATATAATTCCATTCCTTGTTTTTTTTTTTATTGTTATGATTTGCATGTTTATTATTTTTGCCGTGGTTTTTTTTTTTAAATTTATTATATTTAAATTTTGTTTAATTGTATAATAAAATAATGATTCACAATCAGAGTTATTCAGCAGCAACCAGATCTGGTGTTCTCCACTGGACGTCCCTGATCGATTTTCACTTTGCTTGCATTGTCGGTGGCGCTGGACGGCGGACCGACACGATTCTTAATCTCGGCAGCCATCGTCATGAATGCCTGCTCCACATTAGTGGCGCTTTTGGCCGAAGTTTCAAGGAATGGAATGCCTAACTGATGTGCGTACTCCTGCGAATGTAACGAATTATAGAATAATCAATTGGTTTCACAAAGTTTCAGTAGGGGATTTTTAGTCTTACCGCAGCTGTTGTATGATCAACAACTTTCTTAGTGGTTAAATCACTTTTGTTGCCCACCAGCAACTTGTTAACATTTTCGCATGCATATCGCTCGATTTCTTCCAGCCATTGCTTTACATTATTGAAAGATTCCTGGTCCGTGCAATCGTAAACAACAATAATGCCGTGTGCGCCACGATAGTATGACGATGTGATAGTACGGAAGCGCTCCTGCCCAGCAGTGTCCCACTACAAAGTATATGATTTAATTTTGATTTACTCTCTGCATTGGCTGACGCACTTACAATTTGCAATTTAATCGTTTTGCCATCCAATTCTATGGTTCTAATTTTCTGTAAGAAATAACGGGTTGAGTATCATATATTTTTTGGTGATTACGAATGTGGTAAGACTTACAAAGTCCACGCCAATCGTACTGATATAGCTCTCTGTATATGTGTCATCGGCGAATCGAAGCAGCAGACAGGACTTTCCAACGCCGGAATCGCCGATCAACAGCAGTTTGAAAAGATAGTCGCTGTAAAAGCAAAAATGTGCGTTTTAATAAAGGTATATATTTCAACATCATATCGCTTAGCTCAATAGCTCTATTATAATTGCTTATCTTATCGCGTACAACCTGCTAATATTCATTGTTTGGCAATATCTATAAATGTTACTCTCACGCTTCACCACGAATGCAGCTGCACCTACAGTGAAAGTTCTGTAGAGCGAAAGTGAATTTTGTGGTCTTGTTTTTATTTGTGGCATTGCTCTGGGACAAATACAACTTATTTAATTTTCATACATTTTATAGATAAATAAACAAAATAGGAAATAAAGAAGCATTTTATCAGTCTTACTAGAATTATATTAAGACACAAATCGATTTCCATTCAAATGTATATAGAGTTCCTAAAATTTTAAAACTTGTTTGTCAAGTTTAAAATAAGATTTACGCTAATATAAAAAGAGAAACCCATTGAGCTGTGGTACAAATTCAATTTTGAAGTTGTAAGGACAAAGTTTGAATTATGAATAATAAAACAAATAAAGGAATCTTTCTCAATTACGTGTGAACGAATCAGAGAATTTCAAGTTCAATTACAATGAACGAAAACATAAAACACTCAACATAGATGGGAAATTGATTACGTAGCAGCAGCAGCAACAGCAGCTACAGAAAAAAAAATAAAAACAACACAACAACGGCGCAGCGTAAAGCAGTCAAACAACAACAATGTGTACACAAGGAGGGGGTTGGAGACGCTGGGCAGGTGACTCATCCGCCCCACAAATCAGCAGCGCAGCCAAAGCTGACATAGAGGCAACGACAGCAGTAGCGGGAGACAGAGACAAAGGCAAGGGCTTGCGGGTTGGCTGGCTAGCTAGCTGGCTGTCAGCAACATTCGCAGCCACTCGAAACAACAACTAAAAACGCAATCAGAAAGCTTGATTTTCTTCACTTGTGTCACAATTATTTAAAACACTACTGTCTACAAATATGTATGCTATATTTGTTTGTATTACATATATAGTTTCTATCCCAATTCAAAATCGTATGTTGTTTTTAGTCAATGCCATTAATATTCAGTCAAATTACTCGTTTAGAGGGTGTGGGGCCGCGGCAACTACCAAAGAGTCGTCGTGGACGTCGCAAAAATGACGTCGCAGAAACGACAAAAGAATAAAAAAAAAAGGTGACCAGTGCTGCTTATGGAACGCGGATGAGTACAAGGTTTTTCATTGTACATATCAATACATCTCAATTACGCGCAATTAACTTACTATTCTGGATTCATTGATGACATAGTTTTTAGTTTCGGGTTGTTTTCTTGTTAAAGATTTACTATTTCTTGCCACGAACGAAATATTCAATTTCGTTTGAGCTGCTCGGTTAAAACTGGCGAGTCTGACGGATGTATCTTATATCGATTGGCGGCCTTTGTTGTGATATAACACGCACTGTGCACTCTATACTCCAAAATTGTTTATTTTTCTAACTTCTATTTGTATTTATTGCAACGAATTTAAAGGAAATTCGATAATTTCCAACAAATTCGACAGCCGAGAACGAGAACAATGGCGACTGAAAAAATGACGAAGTGGCATTAGTGTGGCAGAGTGTCGTCAGTTGTGCCAATAAAGTGTTGAGTAACGTAATAACCAGGGCTGCATCAGCCAGTGCTATCTGAAATCTCCTTTGTGGGCGGTAACCACCAACAAATATACATACAGAAATATCTGTACGTCCGTTTGTATGTGTTTATGTATATTAATGTATGTATATGTACTCCCCTATCAGTAATGCTGATTGGAATATTCTTTAATACTTGCATCTGCATATAATCTCTTATAAATCATTGGACTCTAAACACAAATTATTTAACATTTGAGAGTTGTTTTGCTTGCATATATAGAACACATGTAGATAAATAGTATTACAATATTATATTATTTTATGTGAAGATTCGATAAGCGGGCAATGGGGAATGCATCATTTTAGTGCGTGGAAATCTGTCTATTCCAATGAGTTTAATGTTAGCAGCTGTTTGAGCACTTTTGTCTGTGAGGTCTCGCGTATCTCCCCAGCCAAAAACATCTCATCAACGACACTATACACCTTGTAAAAATTAAATACGAGATCCAACTCGCACACATTATGGAAATACTCGTTCAGCACCTCTACAAAGTTATGTATGGCCTCCAGATAGCAGAGATTATTGTCGTTAACGTCCACGCAAATGCAAAAGTAGAGACCTGCATAGCGTCTATACACAATTTTGAAATTACGAAACTGCAAAAGATGCACAGTACGTTAGTCAGTAGAATTGTAGGTGTATCTATTTAAAATATATTGCTATTACCTCTACAAAATTAGTGTGCTTAGCATCTCGAACTGTGACCACAGCGTGCACCTCTTCGATCAATTTTTGTTTTTCGTCGTCATCAAAGTTCATATACCACTTGGCCAGGCGAGTTTTGCCTGCACGATTTTGTATGAGTATAAATCGGATCTGCGCACATATTAGACGAATGAATATTCATACTCAGATTGATTATAAATATTAAACTTACCATTTTGGAGTATGTGTATAGGTAATTACTTAAGTAACTACACTGCTATTTACAATTTTCAGCTATGGACGCAGCGAATATATGATTATGAGTAAATGTGTATCACTGTTGCGAGGGCTGGAGCAGCTGGCGAACAGCTGTTGAACGTGACCAGTGCTGTCTAACATAAGCATATACACGTCAGTTGGCAACACCAATGATTTAATACCATTACTACGTTTTCACTTTTTATACATATTTGTTTAGGGCCGAACTTGAAGCTAGTCATTAACACCTCAATTACCAAATAATGTTGACGTCGCGCTTTAACCTTTGGTCACGTACTCAGTTGCTGCGTAAATGCAGCACCATATCATTGAGCCAACAGAAGCATGCGAATATCGAAATACATGATCCTCTCCAGGCGCACGCCTTAAAAGAGCAATGCATCCTAGTGGACGAGCAAGACAAGCCCATCGGTGCTGCTACCAAGGCCGACTGCCATCGCGTGCACCCTGGTACGGGCGATGTTAAGCTGCATCGCGCTTTCAGTGTATTTCTATTTAACTCCAAGGGCGAGATGCTCGTACAAAGGCGCTCCGTGCACAAAGTAAGGATTTCGAAATCTAGATTAAATCTCATTAATATTAATGACCAGCCCATTTCAGATAACATTCCCAGACACATATACGAATGCTTGTTGTAGCCATCCGTTATATGACATTGAGCAAGAGAGACAAGAGTCGAATGCTCTGGGCATACGTTTGGCGGCACAACGACGCTTGAACTACGAGTTGGGCATACCCACGAATGAGGTTGAACCAGATAACTTTAACTACTTAACGCGCATTCACTATGCAAACACGGGGGACGGCGTCTGGGGCGAGCATGAGATTGATTATATACTTTTCCTTCAAAAGGATGTAACTTTGAAGCCCAATGCCAACGAGGTCAGTGAGGTGCGCTACCTAAAACGAGAAGAGATCGACGAGGCGATAGCCAAGTTCAGTGCTCCATTGACACCTTGGTTCGCCTTGATACTGCGTCATCGGCTTAAACAATGGTGGGATAATTTGCATAGACTGAAGCAGTTTGAAGACTTGAAAAACATTCAACGCTTTTAAAAGCAAAAATATTGCTGCAATCAAACCAAAAATATATTTGTTGGAACCTCAGATTTGTTATACCCTACTGAATGAGGATATATTTTAGCTATAGCATGAAATGTGTGGCGCATGGGAGATACCTCCACAGGCATAGTCAAATTATATCTATACATCTATCTGTTTCTTTGCAAACAGCTGAAATCACAAACATAAGTCGAGCCGGTCGAATTGTATTAATTATTATCATTGGAAAGCCTGGTATTTCCAAATATGTGAAATATAAATTCTCATCAAAATCGAATTACTATATTAAATAGCTGCCGTAGAAAATAGAAAGTATGTTTTTATATAAAATAGAAAGGCATGGTTTTTATATAATAAATTTATATATAAGCACTGAAATATATTGCATGAAAGGGTATTCTATTGTCAACATACACCAAAAACTGCTGTCTTGTAATTCATTTAAATTCGCTTTATTTTTATTCAAATGGAAAAAAGTGTGTGTGTGAGTGAGCGAAGAAGGGGCTTAAAGCGATTTTCAGAGCATCACATATTGTATGTTTGTTGATAAATGTATGTAAGTTTAACAAAATATAGTTTTTCTTACATATATATATTGTGTAGGTATACTCATAGCACTAACTAAATGTGAATATTATATAAATATTTAGCTCATAAAATGATCACATCACGTTTACCATAATAATCATCATCATCATCTTCACAACGAACAACAAAATAAATATTTACAAAAGTATTATAAAACTAAATGAAACACCTACAAGGTTGGTATACAAAACAGGAACCCTAACTAAATAATGTATCTTAAGAATATAGACAAAATATCTTATGAAAAAACACAATGAAAATAACTAAGAGCTGCAGCATTTTAACAGTCACGAAGCGCACGCTTCGTATGGTGTGAAACAGAGGAAAACAGGTGCAAATTGAGTTTGCGTATCTGACAATACCTCTGCTTCACTTGGCACCACCTTGGCACCGAAAATCGGTTGTAAACAGAGTCATTGCTTACCAAGCAACTTAAAGCTAAAAAATTTTCACGTAAACAAAAATTCGCAGTTATAATATAAAATATATAGGAGGGAGAGTTATGAAGTATTTCTTGCAAGTCGCATGCGAATGCGTCGTAGTTATGTGAGTTTGAGTGTGGAGTTCGCTTGCGTATGTAAGTGTTCTCAGGGTTTAGCACATCCTGAATTCGGTTAGAATTTAAGGCACATGGTGTGAGTCTTTCGTGTGAATCTCAGGCTCGAGAAATTATGTATATATTAAGCCGCTTGCACCATACTTAGGACAAGCCAAAGAGCTTTAAGGCATTAAAGGCAGTGGCCAAGGCGACCTCGTCCGGTGTTTTCTTCATAAAAGCAGCTATCATTTCCACAATTGCTGGCAAGCTGCAGGGCTCGTTGCGTTGAAAGGTGCAATATCTAAAATGTATACATAAATATAAGTTTAATTTCTTATTAAAAAAGAGTCCCACCTGTGTAAATACAACAACGAGCGTTCTGTAATGCCACTTTTCACATGCTGCGGTAGCTTTGACGCTCGAGTATTGGGATACATAAATGGAGCATCGGTTTCCACCAGCAGCCTGTCCAATGGCAACGTTCCATTATCGAGCAAGCGGCGGACACCTGTATCAGATTTATCCTTGCACAAGTACCCAGTTAAGCTGATATAGAATCTGCGATCTAGATACTTGAGTGCCTCCTCAGCGGTGCCCATGAAGCCTCTGATGATAACTGGCGGTAGATTCTCGAATCTGCAATGAGCAACAATGAGTATCAACACATATTTTAACATATATACATATTATTATAATAGATATTTGATTTGATATTTGATCTTACTTGTCGAGTATTTCGAGTACATCATGCTGAGCCGATCGCTCGTGTATCAGCAGAGGTTTCTTTAGATGAATTGCCAAGTGCAGTTGCTTGGCAAAAATCTGTTTTTGCACATCTGGCTCGGAGAAATCGCGCTGATAGTCCAAGCCACATGGACCAATCGCCACGCACTCCTGTGCCTGTGCAATATGCTCAAAGTCGAACCATGTGGACGGCTCCTCCACAATCGACTTTGAGTCGTGCGGATGTATGCCAGCAGTCGAATAGATAATGTCGGGGTAAATACGCGATAGACGCAACGCTTCCTTACTCGATTTGACCGAAGTGCCGTGTACCATTAGCTTCTGAACACCTGCAATATATAATGTAAATATTATACATACATACATATATGGTTATGAATGAATGTTCCATATTTACATATATTTATAGTTATACATAAAACATATAGTTAAATAATTATGCATCACGTATATAAAATCTAATGATGCAAATGGATTTTGAAATATGCAGATATGCAATCAAAAGATAAGTATGCCTGCACATTCGATTATTATTTGATTTAAACAGCGGTTAGTAAGCAGAGCTTTCACTGTATTTGGTGCACTCGCATACGAACATTCTCAAATACATAGGCATTCACGCAAACGCATACATGCACGCACATCCAATAATCATTCACACATGTTGCACGCTTATCGCCTGTCATCCGATTGACCTTCTTCAATGCGTATGTGTGCGCTCTCGATGACCATTTGCCGCGCCCAATCATGTCTTATTATTTAAGTTGTCACAATTTTTATAAACGAACCTGCGTCTCTGGCTCTTTGAACAACGGAATCCAGATCACGGCTATACTTCTTGTTGGTCAAATTTGCGCCTACATCGATGACAATAAGGTTCTCAAAGCAATGCTTCATGCTGTCCTCGATGTCTAGTTGCTCTTGTGCCACTGGCGCTACTTGTTGTTGTTGGCGTTCCATAATATATGTATGTATGTAGATAGTAGTGTTTGTACGAAAATAGCAATGACGTAGACAGACAGACGGACAGACAAACAGAGAAGATGTCGTCTTTGTGTAATTTAATTAGCTTTCGTTAGCACAGGGCAACGGATGCGGTTATGAGTACCCCAGCGAAAAATTCTCTCTTTTATTGCAATATATAATAAACAGTGGCCAATTAAACAATTAACTTATCAAACTTTGCAAATTAATATAAAATAAAAACAATTCCCGACACGAACTACGACTGCTGGCAGATGATATCGATGATAGTAGTGCAATCGACTACGAATTTTTAAAGATTGCTTTCGATGTGTGCACATATCGATATATCTGTATAGATAATTAAAAATTATATATAAATAATCGGTTTTTTAATTTCAAATGATTAAAAGCATCGGCTTAGAATTGTTCTCCTATGGGCTTGATAATTAGCTCATGGATCTGCACATTGGGTGGCGTCTGAATACAGTAGCTGACAGCATCGGCCACATTCTCGGGAAGTAACATGGGCATTTTGGCCACCACCTCGGGAGAGTTTGAGTCAAAGATTTCAGTATCGACAACACCAGGACTTATGCTCTGCAGGTAAAAATTTAGGTCACATTGTATTTCCAAATAATCAGTACAGTACTCACCGTAATCTTAGTCATGGTGCCTTTGTTCCGAAATTCCTGGCGAAGCACTTCGGTGAGTGCAGTGATAGCATGTTTAGATGGTGCATACATGTTTAAGCTAAAGCCTGGAGCTTTCGGTACTTCGTGACCAGCTATACTATTGATGATAATCACGTGCCCATCGTTTATTTTGCGACGGTTCATGGAGTTGAAGGCTTGTCGTGTGCACCAACTAACGCCCAATACATTTGTATTTAAAATATCTCGCAGATCTTCCCCATTGCCCTCGTCTGTGATGCATGCACGACGTATAATGCCTGCGTTATTCACCAACACATCCGCACCTCCCAGGGCTTCGTCTATCCAGGCAAAGGAGTCGATTACCTGTTGCTCTACCCTCACGTCACACTGGTGGCCATAAAAACGAGCTGACTGCTCAGTGGGAAGGTCTGCCTTCAGCTGTTGAAGTTTATCTAAACGACGTGCCAAGCCTACAACAACCATGCCCTTTGCCACGAGATCCTTGGAACATGCAGCACCAATACCCGAACTGGCGCCGGTAACAACAGCGACACGATTTATCCAGCGGTTCATTTTTCATTGAATCAAATTCGGATATTCAAATATAACTAACTTACAACACACTGATAGCAATTATATATTTTTACAAAAATAAACGCTTACATAAAGCCGATAACGATAGTACTACTTAGAGTCTCCAAGAATTTTAAACAGCTGCTCATACACTTGCAGAACAACAACAGTACTATAGAAAAAATAAAACTATATCATTTTTCTTTTTTGTTTTAATATATTAATATATATTACATTTATTTCTGCTAATATACGTGAATCTTTGGTGTTATTTGTAGTTTATATACGTAAACATATATATTGATATTAGTATATATATATATTT